TAATTTATGCACGACTACTGCCCAACTGTCATATTGTTTCAGTCTTCAAGATTTTGTTCTGCGCTGTTTGGTTTGGTTTGCACGTCGGTTAACCGAGCAGTCGTCGGTGGCTGAGCAACTGCCAAAATTTTATAATATGTGCTGAGCAGATGCACTTCCCAACAATAGTAGACAATGGAAAATTACGTTGGCTCGGTCCCAGTTAGTAAATCCATAGGTGATATTCGGTTTTGGTCGGCCAAGTCATACTCGTGCACTCTGGTTCGGACATGAATCAATAAATAAAATTTTTTTCAGCTCCTCTCATGCATTGGTCGGTCATCTGTCATGTTTTGGCCAGCCTTATTTACGTCTAATTGAAGTGGTAGCTTGGCTTATTATTTCATCAGTTTGATCCCATCTTTAGGCACTGCTCGGCCTCTTAATTTACGCACGACACTACCCGAATTTCTGTTCAGTTCATTCTCATTCGGTCGTCATCTTTTTTCATATCCAGCAGCATATTTCTTCCGTGGTCTTTGTTTTCGGTTGGACCGTTGCTCGGCCATGGGTTTGCATTGCTCGGCCTTAGAGAAGCATGCCATCAAATTCGTAGTTCGGTCGCTAGCTCGGCTCATCGCCGTCAACGAATGAGTTCAGTCGGTTGCTCTTATTCCGTAGCTTGGTTCGCACCAGCTTTTTACGCTGCTCGGTTGGTCTCCAGTTTATGCTCGATTACATCTTTTCAGTGTCGCGCTCGGCTGGCCACCATCTTCATCTTGCCATTGGACTTCAAGCTCGGCATGACGGAGGTACATACTTGACTGTCGAGCTGCCACGCGTCCATAGCTGATTAGTTTAGGGCTCTAATGTGACGTAAAAGCAAGCCCAATTCAAAGTTTTTCTTGAAAACAAGCAAACCCATCTTACATAACACTTTCTCACTCTAGAAATTTGAATTTCAGACCCATTTTTTTCCATTTCTTTGCTGCCTCACTTTTTTGACTCCAGGAGCAACAGTACCCTATTTTGGAACAAAGCTCTGGCTTTGTTTTTATTCTCACGCTTCCTTCGTTGGGATTTTTAAAACAATTTAAAAATTGAGCTTGACCTCTAGTCCTCTTTCTATAAATCCCAAACTTTTGTTGAGAAAGGTTGGAGCTTGCACCAACAACGTGGTCTCCTCACTTTCTCTTCATCCCATGAGGAGGCAGATTTGACCTTAAGCATTTCTTCTTCATCTGGCTCACTCAAGGTTCAGCCTAAGCAACTTTTATCTTTTGCAGCTTTCCGAAGACATTCTTCTGAAGTTTCCTGTAACTTTTTAGCATCTCTTTTAGTTTCAAGTTCAAGAAAGGCAAAGCACGATTACACTCAATGTCTACAGGATCGGCCATAACTGTAACTTGATCTATTTTCCTCAATCCCAAACTCCTGCAACAGCTTACCAATATCTTCACTCTTCCACTTCTTGTTTAATATTACTTGAGAAAAATTGTGTCATTGCCCTCAACAGGTGTAGCGCTAATTGCTTTCCACAAATCTCAACTTTGGAAAATTTTGCTAATGCCTTCATAGCATCAGCAGCTGAAGCATACTGGACAAATGAAAAACCTTTATCTTACCTGTCTTATCATTCATCACCAAACTCACCTCCACAATCTCACCTGCCTGCTGAAAAACTTTCCTGACATCTTCCTCCTTTGCATCCTTGCCCAACCCACCATGAAAATCTCAGTCTTGCGCCTCTTACGTTGCTCCAATGCTCCATTTATATTTAATCTTTTTATTTTTTTATTATTTATTTTTATTTAATATTTTTTTATATTTAATCTTTTTTTTTATTAATCTTTTTTTTTTTTTTTTTTTTTTTTTTTGCAACTCATAATTTTCTCTTGGTTGCCATAGTAGGACTGCTCATCGGAGAGCTCGCCATCAAGTTCCCTTGATTTTGGCACTGTAAGTCATAGAACCCATGTATTTCCTTTCCACCTTCACCATTACTTTTTGGTTAAGTGTAACGTTGAGAGTCGTTTAGCACACGGTTGCTCGGGTCGACCATTGTACCTCCAACCTTGCAGTCATCCTTAGTGTAGTTTTGGTGGAATCATCGCACCTCCAATGGGTAGTTTCGGACCTAGTGGACACTCGGCAGGAATGGATGAGGTTCCGCCGAAGAATATAACATTCCCAATGATGTCACATTGACATTTTGCGGCGCGTTGACGCGGATCGGTCGTACAAGCACCCACAATGCCCTTCTCAATTGCCTCCATCGTAGAGGGGGGTGTTAGGTTTCCGTTGAACCCTTTGTTGCGTCGATTCTTTTCTTATTTTGAACTTATACCAATGCAAATATCAATGAACACATTTAGAGTGATAAACGGTGTCTCGGTCTTGAACGACCTCTTAGACTTGGACTTGGGTATTTGGGATATCCTTCATTGTTACTCCTTGTGTCGTAATAAGGCGGTAAAACCTATTATGTCAAAGTTCGGTCGTTGGACCTCCAACTCGTTACTGAACTTCCTGATAATGACAAGCATTGCTCTGATTTCCTTTCAAGTCGGAGGTAATTGGGAGTTTGCGGCCGAGGAGGTGGGCCGATTGAAGCGGGTTCCACGAGAGAACGGCCACCCAGGTCATTCTTTATTTTAGTTTCCTTTTATCCATTCGCTTATCACTATGACTTTTTCTTTGTTAAAGTGTTATCGTCATACTTGCAGGTTCAAAAAAGCTAAAAAGGAGGCCGGAGAAAGAGCATCCGAGGGATATCAAAGTTGCAACTAAGTACGAAGATCGGTCGGCCTCGCATTGCTTAACTATGTGCGAACTTACAGACATGTCATCCAACGGAAACCCAAAGTAAACAACTCGCAAGGGACTCACTTAGCATTGAAACCGAAGAACAAGTTGGCCATACTACCGGAGCTTCCTCTTCCGCTGTTGTTTGTTCATCAAGTGGATCACTCAGTAGAGGCTACTCTCCGTCGCCAGACTTAGCAAGCGAAATGGCTCGTCGCCAAAAGCTCAATCTTGATGCCTTAGTCTTGGATCTGAGATGAGGACCTTCTAGCTGTTTCGACGGTCGACACACAAGTTTCTTCTCCATCGATTGAGAGGTCTAAGGGTGGACAAAAGCATGTTGTTATTCCTCTTCCTCCCATATGCTACTCTTGCTCTCCTGCTGATAGGGCCTCAAAGAGGAAGAGATCTCAAAGGTAAAGAAGTTGCTGGGGGGTTCTAATGAGCAGGCTCAATTGAAGAATGGGTGCCTCCCTGGAGCATAACGGCCGCGAGCTATCACTACATCGGACAGCACAATCTACTCAAGCGACTTGGCCTTGACTTATCAAAGACATTGCTGTTTACCTTTGGATATGGCAGAGCAAAACATTTCAAGCGACGTGTTGATCAAGGGTTTCGGTGCAAGATGTTAACCGCAAGTAAGTCTTCTTTTATGTCTTTGTCATTTACCTTAATTTGGTTGTTGAGAATATGACATTTTGTTTGGTGCAGTGCATTCAGAGGATGCACATCATGGATGAAAGGCGGCATCGTTGAGGAGCAAGAGAAGGTTAAGAGATCAACATGTTGGCTGATGCTGATATGTCCTGAAGGCGGCCGGAGAGGATATAAAGGAGATGAGATGGAAGATGCAAAGAAGAAGGCCGAAGCACTGATGTTCATGGCCGAGCGGAGGGCCGTAGATGCCGATGCTGCTTTGAAGTCTTTAAAGGCTAATTATCAAAGGATGGTGGACGAGGCCGAACAGAGGGGCTATGACGAGGCCGAAAAGACCTATTCGGAGGAGATTTTGAAGCTGAGGGACAAGATCTTTACTAAGGGTTGGACTGGGGCTCTGCGTGCTGCTAAAGTGGAAGAGGCTTCTCCTCTTTATGATATTGACGATATCCCAGTCCCTTCGAAGACCGCTGCAAGGGTTAGGATGAGAAGGCCTCGCCAAGGTGGAGTTACGGATGTTGATCCTTCTGGCCTTTCTCCTTTCCTGCCGAGCTCTTCCTTGGTTAGACAGACTGTCAATCCTACAGAAGAGGAGTACCGCGAGGGTGGACACTACGAGGAGGAGCCACGCGAGGAGTAAGTTGTTAGGTTGCCTCGAGTTTTTCTTTCACTTCTGCTTTAGTAGTTCTTTTGTAATGAAACTTGGAAGTTAATGAAGTATCTTCAAGTTTTGCTTTAGCGCTCGGTTGGATAGGCTATGATACAAACCGAGCTCCCTTTTGTAATGAAGTACCTTCTAAATTTGCCAAGTGTTGAATTTGCAACTTGTACTTTCTTATTTATCTTGGAGTTCGGTCGGGTGGACCTCTTTTTTTGTAAGGCCGAACTCTTTTTAGTAATTGAAGTTTCACTTCAATGCACTCGTTCTTCTATTTTCTTTTATTTTCGCAAGTGTTGAACCGCTTATCTTCAATTTTTGCTTATATGTCATGTTTGCCCCCGGCCGAGCAGAGGCTCTATGGCCTAGCAGGCTGTCTGTTCGGTCTGATCAGGCTTCGTGCCTTAGAAAAAATTGAGTAAGTTTGTCGATGCCCCCAGCCGAGCATGAGCTCTGTGGCTCGGAAGGTTGTCTGTTCGGTCAGACCATGCTTTATGCCTTCGTAGAGAAAAAATTGTGAAAGTTTTTTATCATGTTGGTCGGCCGCCACCTGACTTGGGCAAGTTTTGGCGGGATTTAACCCTTCGTAGAGTGTAATTCTGCCCGTCTTCGAGCGTGAATTGTGAATTTGGACCGTGCTTTAAGTAACGATACTTGGCACAAATTCTACCAAGTTATACCACTTGGCACCCCGCTCCAACCAAAGGGTTGAGCATCCGGGATTAGCTTGAGTTAAGACCCGTGGCCAATTTGCTCCACCGAGCATAAATGTACAACACAAGTAAATAAGGACAAACTATAAAATAAATTTTCATTCATTGATACTCGTAACTTTTGATTACATCAAGGCATGTTCTGAGAAATACATTACTGTAAGTATTTCATCCTAAGAATCATATCACTGGAAGTACTTCTTTAGGTTGGCGACATTCCATGGTCTGGGGATTTCCTTCCCTGATAAGTCAGCCAGATAGTATGCGCCATTGCCAAGTGCTGAGGTAACCTTGTAGGGCCCCTCCCAGTTTGCACCGAGTTTCCCTTCCCCAGGAACTTTCTTGTGATCCATTACCTTCCTGAGTACCAAGTCACCTGGTAGGAATTGCCTTGGACGCACATTCTTGTTGAAGCTCTTAGTGAGTTGTTGTTGGTAAGCCGCCAATCGAATGAGGGCAGCTTCCCTACGTTCTTCGGCCATGTCCAGAGCTTGGGCAATAGCTTCATCATTGTCTGTTGGCTCAAAGATCTCAGAACGGATGGTAAGAAGGCCAACCTCCAAAGGGATGATTGCTTCCATCCCATAGGTGAGAGAGTAAGGTGTCTCACCGGTTGACCGATGAGGAGTAGTTCGGTAAGCCCAGAGGACATTCGGTATCTCTTCCACCAATTTGCCCTTGGCTTTTTCAAGACGCTTTTTTATCCCGTCAATAATCGTCTTGTTGGACGTTTCAGCTTGGCCATTGCCCTGTGGGTAGGCCGGAGTGGAGTTTCGGAACTCTATCTTCAAGTCAGCGCAAAATCTCCTGAAGATCTTGCCATCAAATTGTGTACTGTTGTCAGAGAGAAGGACTCTGGGAATGCCAAATCGAGTCACAACATTGCGCCAAACAAACCTCTTAGTGTCTGCTTCTTTGATCTTGCACAAGGCCTCCACCTCCACCCATTTGGTGAAGTAGTCAGTTGCAGCGATAAAGAACCTTTTATTCCCAGTTCCCCTAGCTAATGGTCCAACAATGTCTAAGCCCCACTGAGCGAATGGCCAAGGACTGGTGAGAGGGGTTAGAGCTTTGGTTGGCTGGTGAATGAGAGAAGCAAACTTTTGGCACTTGTCGCACTTGCGGACGTACTGTTGGGCCTCCTTTTGCATGCACAGCCACCAATACCCGTGCGTTAGGGCTCGGTGTGCCAAGGACCGACCACCAGTGTGACTCCCATAGATTCCATCATGGATCTCATAAAGCACATCTTCCACCAGACTTGGATGAACACAGAGTAGATAAGGGCCCATGTAGGACTTCTTGTAAAGCTTGCCAGATGGGGAGACCCAAAACCGAGCAGCTCTGTGCCTTGTCTTGTGCACTTCTTTTTTGTCCTCAGGAAGGGTGCCATTTTTCAAGAAGGCCAAGAGTGGGTCCATCCAACTCGGGCCCAAGTCAGTGCAAAGGACCATTTCGACTAGTTGAATACTTGGTTGGGGTACATATTCCACCCATATTTTGCGGCCGTCTCTGGAGTCGACCGAGGAACCCAGGCAAGCTAAAGCGTCAGCATGACCATTTCCCTCTCGGCCAATCTTCTCGACTTTGATGGCTTGGAACTTTCTGATTAAATTTTTAGCCTGTGCTGCATAAGTGGCCATCCGCTCATCGCGAGCCTCGTAAACTCCAGAGAGTTGGTTGACCACTAATTGAGAGTCACTAAAGACGAGTAGTTCCTCCGCATTGAAGTGTTCGGCACTTCGTAGGCCGGCTAATAGAGCTTCATACTCTGCTTCATTGTTAGAGGCTTTCCAACCCAATCGAATGGCTTGCTCCCACATGAATCCTTCAGGAGAAATAAGGACAACTCCTGCCCCTGACCCTTTTTGGTTAGAAGAATCGTCCACAAACAGCTTCCATATGTCTCCAACAAAAAGTTTCCATGCTTCGGCTGGGGATTGCCCTTTATGCTGGGTAGTCATAGTGACCAAAGTCGAGCTCCCTTCGGAGGGAACAACTGGTCCCGGGGTGAATTCTGCAACAAAGTCTGCCAGGACTTGAGCTTTGATTGCTGTCCGAGGTTGGAACTTGATATCAAACTCTCCAAGCTCCACCGCCCATTTTGCTGTTCGGCCTGAGAAATCTGCTCGACTGAACACCGACTTGAGGGGGAATTCAGTGAGAACGTTGATGGTATGTCCTTGAAAGTAGTGAACAAGCTTCCTAGAGGCAATTAATAGTGCATATGCCAATTTCTCCAATGGCAAGTATCTAGTTTCGGCATCTAAGAGTGTCTTGCTAACATAATACACTGGTTTTTGCTCCTTTCCATCCTCTCTGACTAGCACTACACTAACAGCATGATCAGAAACAGCCAAGTAAAGGAAAAGCTCTTCGTTGGCGACAGGCGTAGATAGAAGGGGAGGAGAGGACAAATACTTCTTCAAATCTTCTAGTGCTTCGGAGCACTGGCTTCCCCATTCAAAACTGGTTTTCTTCTTTAGAAGTTGGAAGAAGGGCTTCATCCGGTCGGAGGACCGACTAATGAAACGGTTAAGTGCTGCAGCCATGCCAGCAAGTTTCTGGAGTTCCTTAGCCTTTGTAGGCGCTTTGAGGTCTTGGAGGGCTTTAATTTGGTCGAGGTTGGCTTCAATGCCCCGCCTAGTCACCATATACCCCAAGAACTTCCCTGATCCTACTCCAAAGGCACATTTTGAGGCATTCAGTCGAAGCTTGTGAGTCTTCAAAATTCTAAACACTTGCTCAAGGTCCCTTAGATGGTGTTCGGCCAACTTGCTTTTGACGACCATGTCATCAATGTATGCTTCCATGGTTTTACCGAGCTGGTCCTTGAACATTTTGGTGACCATTCGCTGGTAGGTCGCACCAGCGTTCTTCAAGCCGAAGGGCATCACTTTGTAGCAGTAAGTGCCTCTAGGGCTGATAAAAGCCGTTTTCTCCTGGTCAGGACCGAACATGGGGATCTGGTGGTAGCCACTGTAGGCGTCTAGAAAGCTCATGCGCTCATGTCCAGCCGTTGCGTCAACAAGTTGATCTATTCGTGGAAGAGGGAAGCTATCCTTACGGCAAGCTTTGTTAAGGCTAGTGAAGTCAACACAGACTCTCCATTTGCCATTCTTCTTTTTCACCACGACGGTGTTGGACAGCCACTTTGGGTACTGCACTTCTCGAATGACTCCAGCAGCCAAAAGTTTGTCCACTTCTTCGATCACTGTATCGGTGTGTTGCGTGGATGATCGTCTACTCTTCTGAATAACCGGCCGCGCTCCTAGTTGGACGTTGAGTCGATGACAGGCATAGTTGGGGTCCAACCCAGGAGTGTCATAGGCCGACCAGGCGAACACTTCGATGTTTTTACGGAGTAGAGCCAGTAACTGCTCTTTCTCTCAAACAGTGAGGGAAGTGCCGAGCAGGAAGAACTTATCTGGGTTTCCTTCTTCTACCAAGACCGTCTCTAGGTCCTCCACCATCTTCTCGGTCGACACACCGCCGACGTCTTCCAAAACTGGCTGGTCAGGTACTTCTACCATCTGTACTTGGTCGCAGACTTGTTTGGTTTTCATGGCGGCAATGAAGCAGTGTTTGGCTGCCACTTGGTCTCCACGAATCTCCTCTACTCCATACTTGGTTGGAAAGCGAACGAGTTGGTGATAAGTGGAAGGAACTGCCTCCATCTGGTGAATCCAAGGTCGGCCGAGGATGGCATTGTAGGGAGATGGGGTGTTTACCACCAAGAAGTCAACAGAGACCACCTTGGAATTAGCTATGACAGGCAGAGTTATTCGGCCGAGTGGCCATTCTGTTTACGAGTTAAAGCCAACTAAAGGGGAGGTGGCAGGTGTCAGGTGTTGCTCACTGAGGCCGAGCTTCTTGAAAAGTCCATAATACATGATGTCTGCGGCACTTCCTTGGTTAATCAAGACTCACTTCACATCGAACTTGTTGGCCACACCAACTGTAACGATGAGGGCATCGGTGTGGGGGTACTGGATTCTCTCTAGGTCCTTTTCAGTGAACACGACGTTAAACCGAGAAGGTCTGGCTTCTGTCTTGGTCTTTTTAGGAGGAGGTCCTACCGACATTACCCGTTGAATGTGGGTGGCACGTTGGATTTCTCCTCAAATTATGTTTTCTCTTTCAGGGTCAGTCATTCCATGGATAACGTTGATGACCAACCTCGGGGCATGGTTTTTTTCAGGAGGGGCTTGGTCTAGTCCCTGCTTTTCCCTCGTCTTGTCAACGTCTATCCATTGTTGAAGGTGTCCTGCCGTAACTAAGTCCTCCAAGTGTTGTTTGAGAGCTCTGCAATTTTGCGTCTTGTGTCCCTTCTCTCGATGATAGGTGCAACGCAATGTTTGATTGCGCCGAGCAGGGTCTCCAGGCATCTTAGCTGGCCAAACAAAGAAGGCTTCTCCTTTAAGTTTCTCGACGAGCCTGTATATTGGCTCTTTGAAGACGGTGGTGATACCTTCATAAGACTTGGCCCTTTCCTCCTCATTTTCTACTGTGGAGCGGTTCTTTTGGCCATAGTTCTTGCGCTGCTCATCCCTCCTTGGCTGCTCAATCTTAGGCGGTCGAGGCGGTCTGACTTCTTCAGCAACCGCGACATGTACCGAAGCAACGTCATCTTCCACACGAGCTTGTTGCTCTATTCGAGCCCTCAAATCCTTCATGGTGGGGGCAGGTCGTTTCGTCAACGACTGTCTTAGCTTGTGCGAAGGGGGTAGGCCTTGCTTGAAGTATAGCACGGCCAATTGTTCACTACAAACATTTTCCTCCAAGTCACCATACTCCTCCCAATATCGTCGCGCGTACTGGCGTAGGGTCTCTTTCCGGTCCTTTCGGATATTGAACAAAGTATCTAACTGCTTTGGGACTCTGCTGTTGGAGACAAATCAGGCTAAGAACGCCTCAGAAAGCTGCATCCAGTTATAAATCAAACCACTGGGGAGTTTGTCAAACCATCGGAGGCCAAGTTCTCCAAGGCTAGAAGGGAAGACTTTGTACATGAGTGCGTCGTTAACCGGTCTAGAGCACGACGCTCTTGTTGGTGTATGGACCGATCTAACTGATCCCTTTCCCTATCGAGCCGGCGTTCCTGCTCCCTATCTCGTCAACGTTCTCCTTCTCTGCATAGCCGTCGTGCCTCTTCTCTGTTATCATTCAGCCAACTTCTCAAATCGTGTGGTCGCTCGTCGCGACGACAATGAAAGGTTTCAGATAGGCGGCTAACGGTCCTTTGCCTTTTATGAGAATTCTCTCGTGGGTTATTTTTTTGTAGGTTATTCGTCCTACTGCTGGCCCCTTCACTATGCACCGAAATCAGCCGGCCACGCTCTCTATGAGCAGGGCCACGGCTGGAGTGCTCCTTGTGAGGCGGCGGAGAAGTACGTCTCCTTTGCTGGTCCGCCAACGGATTTTCTTGGCTCCGCTGGGGTCGCCATGAACTTCAACAATTGGGTACGAAGCTCAGTGATCTCCAAACCCATCGAGTCGATGATGCGGTCACGGTGGTCTTTCTCAACAAAAAGGCGTTGAGACGTCTCAGCGGCAATGACACGGCGTCGCTCCGCCGCATTGGGTGTCTGATCATCGTGGTCCATAAGGTCATCGTGCGCTGGAGGGAATGCCAGACCCTTATCTTTGGTTCTCTCCGTCATTGGAGTCCTCTCTGCTAGCCCAAAGTGGGGTGTATCTTCGATTCCCATCGCCGGAGGTCGTCACGAAGCAAACAGTGGTTTTCCCACAGACGGCCCCAATTGTGCGGGGGTGATTTCCGCACTATGAAGAAGGGTTGAACTTTGTGGATGAACAGCGTGCTTTGGGAATTGAAGATCTGCACAGAATAACAAACGGTGAGGCTGCCCGACCGGGGTTTGGTCGGAAACCCCTCCGATGGTAAAGTCAGGGACTTAGGAAGAAGAAGAAGAGAGAATGGGTGTATATGTGTTAAGTGTGTGTATTTTTCGAATCCCTTGAGAGTGAATAGTGTTCACCTTTTATAGGAGAAGGTTGTTTGTCGTTCAAGTCCTTTTCTCTCCGCCATCTGTCCAATATGTCTTATTCGTGGTCGTCTCCTATTGGAGGAGGACGACCACTCCGCCTGACACTCGGGTGCAGGTCTGTTTTGTTTGTCTCATTAGCGGACATCTCTCATTGGAGGAGGACGACCACTCCGCCTGCCATTCGGATGCAGGTCTATCATATATGCACCTTGTCCCTCTGCGCCTCCATGTCTCCATGTTCTGTTCATACAGAGGGGGAGGAGCAGGGTTGTTTGTCTCTTGTGGGCCCAAGAAAGATCTTTAATGAATTGGCCTTCTCTAAGTTGGTCTGCTTTAGAATGGTTGTCCAACCAGGAGGTCCAATATGTTGCTCAACCCACTTCGGAGTGGTTCTGTCCATCTGGAAGGTCCACCATGTTGCCCGGCCCACTTTTGAGTGATGCTCGTACATTGGGCCGAACTCCTATGATTGTCTTACTTCGGAGCAAGTGTTGGTCATAGGGCTGAGGTCCGACCTAGCTCCACCTTGGAGTGAGTATCGCATTGGGTCTAACACCAAGACTTGATTAATTTTTACCCACTTCAAGTTTGTTTTTTTGCTTCTTGTCCTTCCGCTGCAAGAGCTTTGAGTTTGTTTGTCTTTCTGCTTCTTGTCTTTCATGTTCTACTTTCTTGGTTCAAAAAAAAAAAAATCACAATAGTGTTTCAATGGAAAACTAATCTAGGCTTATTGTTCTTTTGAATGGCTTTGTATTAACATATGGATTGTTAACTATGATTTGAAAGGTTTATGTCAGTGAAATAGACAAAAGCTATTCTTTCTCCAAGTAACCGAATGACTGGGGGTCAATCGGCCGGATGTCTTGCCAGTCATCTTGCGTATCAGATCACCTTGCACAGTAAACTAGTGAAAGATGCCCAGTTCTTCACTTTGGTGAAACATTTGCTATTTTCTCAATTTGATAAAGGTTTGGTAAAACCATTAGAGCATAAAAAGATGTTCTTTTTTACCAAATTTAAATTTGATGATAGATTTGGTGAAGCGTTGGAGATGCCCTCAGCACTTGGAGTTCTCTTAGCTCTTCTTACTAAAAATCTCCTTCTACTTATATGATATATAGATAGATTAAAACTAAAAGATATATATTTATTAGCTATGAAGGAATTGGATAATTTTCAAAGTGAATTATAAATTTTAAATTACATATCAACTTAACTTAGGATTAGTTGACGATTGAGTGCAAATTAGACAGTGATTTTAGCTGAGTGGACAGTTTGTTACACAGTCTTATCGATCTAGCCATTTAAACGACATAGTCTTTATAATGATGAAGGGCAACTATTCTGAGGCCAGAGAGAGCCCATGGTAGGAGATCAGGAATCAAGATCCTTTTCTTGATTTCTTTTTTCGATTCCTTATTTGTTAGGTTATTAGTTCATTTTTTAGTCCAATTTCGATGATTCAAACTGTTTATATTTTAAGATTTATTAAGTATATCATACTTGTAAAAACTTAAGTTGATTAGATATCAGAAAATATCTATTCAGAAAATTATTTATTAAATTTTTTAAAAATATATTTTTTTAATTCGATAATCTAAATACGTAATTTCTGATATCTTAATTTTTTACAAGTATAATATCTTAATCAATTTTAAAACATAAATGGTTAAACTTAAAATGAGCCCAATAACCTAACCAATAAAAAGTCAAAGAAAGAGAATAAGGGGAGAATCCTGATTCGGAGATCAAAGCCCTTTCCCTGACTGTTATATCAGAATGCTAAAAGATTCATGGCATTCAACGGCTGATCAATCACTTACATACGGTGCAGATTTCGAAGATTAAAATACGATCAACGGCTATAAGGTTCGGATCACAGTAACTCTACACGTCTCTCATAGCTTTTCACCATCTTCTTCTCCTTCTTCCTCTCTCTCTCCTCAGAGGCGTAGGTTAGCAAAAAAAAAAGGCCATTAATGGATCATTCTTACGGAGGCGGAAGCTGGTCGATGATCCCAAACATTCCGGTCCACAGTAACCCCACTACACCCTCCAACTCCAATCAGGACCATCTATATCTCCAACAACAACAACAATTTCATCAGCAACAACAGCAGTTTTATCAGCAACAATCACAGCAACAATTTCAACAACAGAAACAACAATTACAGCAGCAGCAGCAGCAGCAACAACAACAACAACAACAACAACAGCAGCAGCAGCGTTCTCAGCAACAACACCAATCACTGGCTTCTCACTTCCATCTCCTTCAAGTATATTCATCGTAAACCCTAATTTTGATTTGGTTAAAATTTCTTCTTTTCTTTTCTGTTTTTATCAAAATTCAAAAAATTTCAGTCTTAGTTGTTTTGATTTTGAATGTCTATTATGTTTCAGTTGGTAGAGAATTTAGCAGACGCCATTGAAAACGGAACTCGGGATCAAAATTCTGATGCTTTGGTTTGTATTTTGAGGGCTTTTTTTTAGGGTTTCACTTTTAACCATTGTGTCATTTTGTCCTGTAATTTCGACTGGCTTGATTTAGACGTGTATTTATGATTTTGTCTCAATTTCGTCTAATTGATTACAATTGTTGTTTTTTTATGGATAATGCAACATAAACATGTGTTTTGCTTTTATAGGCAAAATTTTAAATTTGTTTATTAATCACAATCAACTCAATGACCATTTTTCTTCAAAAACCCTAATTGGGATTATTAATTGAACCAAATTGACATAAAATTTAAAATTAAGGGTCAAAATTGAGCCGATTGCAATTATAGAGAGCAAAATGACACGAGGGATAAAATGTAGGGACTATCGATGTAATTTATCCTCATTTATTTATTTGTGTTTTTAAAAGGTTACTGATTTGAACAACCACTTTGAGAAATGCCAGCAGTTGCTAAACTCAATATCAGGATCAATCAATGCAAAAACAATGGTAATTAACTGTTCATCCCCATTTGTCTCGTTCTGATACATCAATGCCATGATGTGGAATGATGATTTTAACTAGAAATAATGAGATATTGATTGTTTAATTGTCGCAAACAATAAACGCAGACTGTGTGGAAAGGGGGAAGTGAATAGGGCAAATCAATGGACTATATCATTTATGATGGAAGAATTGCTACTTTCAATAAATTTTTATTGCAATTTTAATTTGTTATGCATTTAGATGCTTTTGAGCATAATAAGATCTTCTTTTTTGAACATTGCATAATGTGATCTTGATTGTTTAGTCGTCGTCACAAATGACAAACTTAAACTGTGTGGAAAGAGGCAAGTGATTAGGGCAAATCAACGGACTGTATCATTTAGATTGGATGAATTGTTATTTACAATGCATGCTCTCTGTAATTTGTCATTGCAATTTTGTCATTTGTGACGCATTCAGATGAGTGATGAGTGCTTCTAATTTGTGTGTTTCTTGAATATTGCTTACAGACAGTTGAGGGGCAAAAGCTCAAGTTTGAGGAGAGCGAACAATTGTTGAATCAACGGAAGTATGTGGCATGTAGCTTTTGATTTGCCACTCACATAATATGCTCTCGTTGTTGAAAACGTTCGTTTTTACTGTTTAATTCCAGGGATCTCATTGCCAAGTATAGAAACTCTGTTGAAGAGCTAATCAAGGCCGAACCATAATTGCTCGTCATCTTTCTAGATGGGGTAAGAACATCAACTTCAATATCTTTTTTCCTTCTTTCTTAACAAGAAACCCAAGAAAAATGAGTGTAGAGATCATTTTTTTCTTAGTTAGCTGTAACCTTCAATCATATCTTGAGGAATGACAAGACTGTGTAATGATGTTGGAAAGTAATATCAATATATACACTAATTATTAATTTTTGGATGCTTTTTTTTCCCCTGAATTTCTCAAAACCCCAACTTTCTAACCAACTTTTGAAGTTTAGTTATAATTTTATGAAGTTTGGTTTATAATTTTATATGTATTTTCCTAGTATTTGACAAGTAATTTGAAGTCTATAATTTTTCGGTTATCAGTTGAAGATCCTGCAATGGCTCAAAATTATATTACCAGTTGCATCTACTTGCCACGTTGTAATCATTGTGGTTGAATGACTTTGTTAAGGTTCATCCTTCAAATTTTCTGATTTCCAACTCGAAATATGGATGTGACTGAGATCGTATACTAGAATTTGGTTTCTCGTGTATCTTCTAGTGCCTTTGTTGTCGTTTGGCAAAAACTTTTTTGGTTGGCTTTTTGGAGTTGGGACTTTTTTAGTTTGAGACTAAAAAGTTCGTTTGGATTGACTTTTTTGACTTTTGTTAGAGTAAAAGTGACATGATTATGATTTGGATGTAACATTTTGTTTTATTCGCTTTTTAGCCTATTTTGTCTTTTAGTGGCTAATTTAGCCCCAACCATGATTGCCAAATGAAATCTTGGCATTGTTGGCAATCACTTGACACTTTCAGGTGCCAAGTTCTTTTTTTTTTTTTTTGTGTCCTTTTCTTGTCTTTGTATCAAAAACATTACTTCCAATCTTGGAACCAAACCAGTAATGCCCCAACCCTTTACATGTCATCAATATTGTCTGCTTTAAGTCACGTCCGCATAGATTTATTCTTCCCAGTGGGTCACCCATCTCAGAACTACTCCAGCCTAAATACGCTTAACTCTACTCCAGCCTAAACACACTTAACTGGGGAGTTCTAGTAGGGATTTCACCACCAGGAAAAAGGCCTTGATGCTATATAAGGGTTTAGATTTTTACTTTTATAGCTCAGGAACTCCCTCTCCATTCCCAATGTGGGATACCGAGGTCTTACAATCCACCCCCCTTAAGGCTGCACGGCCCCATGCAGTAGCCTACTAGTTCACAAGCCCGCACGGCCCCATGCCTACTAGTTCACAAGCCCGCCCATATGCACCAAGAGACGCCGGGAGCTCACACTCGGTACTCTGGAGAGTCAGCTCTGATACCATTTGTAATGCCCCAACCCTTCACATGTCATCGATATTGTCCGCTGTGGGTGGGCCACGCCCGCACGGATTTGTTCTTTTCAGTGGGTCACCCATCGTAGAACTATTCCAGCCTAAGCATACTTAACTGGGGAGTTCTAGTAGAGATTTCACCACCCGGGAAAAGGCCTCGATGCTATATAAAGGTCCAGATATTTACTTTTATAGTCCAGAAACTCCCCCTCCATTCCCGATGTGGGACACCGGGGCCAACAAAACCAGTGATCCGAGGATCTCTAGTATGTGAGATATACTGGACATTATGCACCAATATTTAGAACTTGTGAATGATGCCATTTTTTCATTTTCATTCACGCTGTTGAAATCCCAACATATCTGGTCACACTTTAAAGTGTGTCCTTTCTTTTCTGATGATAAATGCTGGTCCTATCTTGTTAAAGAATGTGTTAGCATGACTGACTTGTGCATGACTAGAATTGGAATGACTATCAGGAAAGTAGTTACCAAATACTAATATCCCACATGATTCTGTTGGACAATTCTCCTTGTAGTTGTATGTATTTATTTAGAATTGGCTTCTGTAGTTCAAATTTCTATAGCATCTATCTATGAGACTACGACAACTTTTCTTGTGTGGAACTATAGAAGGCTAAGGTTTTGAGAGTATTGGTCACGTGGGTATATTGCTGTAAATGATCACCTGACACAGCGTGGTTAGGGGGGTGAATTGATGCATGTCTTAGACCCATATCACGGGAGTAATGATTCGGTTGTCTGTGATCAGTTTATTTCAGTTCTGTTGGTTGCTCCTACATTTGAGAAGTTTTTATTCAAGTCTAGTTGCTAGTGTTATTGGGATAGACTGATTGGTGTCATTCACGGTTCTGTTTGACTTAAAAAAAGAATAAATTTACATGACGCATTTTTTCATTTTGATAGCTGGTAGTCTTATTATTTAGACATTTGCTGTAAATCATAGCAAACCATTTCTTTCATTATCATGGAGAATTTAGAAATCACTATTCCCAGAGTAGCTTCCTTTCATACTTCAAAATACATTATTTGTTTTAAACCCCCCGTCTTGCCGATATCATTAGCTGCCTCTAATTTTCAAAATATGCTAATAAAACATTGTTCAATAATTTTCGACAATGATAACGTGTCTTGATCTTGATATGAAATCACTTCAGGTAGATGCTGATGTTAACAAATGCAAAGCAGCTGTTGAACTTTGCCAATTTGGAGGAAGACAAGCTATTCAGAAAGGTTTACTACTCTCTCTGTGCACATGGGTCTAGGATAGTAGAAGATTCTCATAATTGTGGCATTTGATTTGCATTCCTTGGCCACTGGACAGATTCTTTTTGCAATGAATAAATTTGAAATGCTTTATAATTATTTTGGTGATGCCTCCTTATAATTTCTGCCATTTGAGGCTATGGAGGGTCGATCATCATCATTTGTGTATACAAGGCATCTTCAGAGGGCATAGTTGGTGTGCAAGTCTAGATTTGAAATGTGAAATTCCAGATTTTATAGAAATTGCATGGATGAGTTCAGTAATAGAGGATGCAGAAGGATTGTTCATCTATCCAGTAAACAAAGCTATTTTCTATTAAATTATTTGTGGTTTGGAAATGTTGGATTAGGGTTTTGTGTACATCTGTTATGACAGGAAATCAGGAAATTCAACTGATTTTTGCAGGAATTTCTTTAGTGGTGAATAAGCTTTCACCTAAATCTCGTGGCACAAAGCTCTCTGCCGGTAAATAGCCTTCAATCTTCATCTGAAGGTCCAAATCCTTTAGCATTTCGTAAACTTGCTCCATCCCCGTTTCCAATGTATTCCCTGCTGAGAACATATGTACCTTCTTCTTCACCTCAATCAAACTCTGTCCACATATTTTCTTTAGACCCTTTGTTTTTGCAGAGATTCTCACCCTTGCAGAATCCTTCCATCTCCCACTTGCAGCATAAATATTAGAGAGCAACATGTAGCTCCCTGTTGTCTCAGACTTTAGCCTAAAAATCCGAGAAGCAGTTTCTTCGGCAACATCTGTGTTTGTATACATCCTACAAGAGTTCAAAAGAGCTCCCCAGACATAAGCATTGGGTTCCATTGGCATGTTTCTCACCATTTCACTTGCTTCTTGCAAAAAACCCGCACGGCCGAGAAGGTCTACAATGCAGGCATAGTGCTCCATTTGGGGTTCAATCTTAAACCCTCTTATCATTTGATCAAAAAGCTCACGACCCTTTGAAACAAGCCCAGCATGGCTACAAGCAGAAAGAACAGCGACAAAAGTAACCCCATCGGGCTTATATCCAGCTTTAATCATCTGCTCGAAAGTTTTTAAAGCGTCATCACCAAGTCCGTGCATGCCATTCCCTGCAATCATTAAATTCCATGAAACTAAATCTCTACCATCAATTTTATCAAAAACCAAATGTGCTTCATTGAGACTTCCACATTTAGTATACATATTAATCAATCCATTTCCCACTAAAATGTTCCTATCCATCATAGCTTTAATCACATGGCTATGGATTTCCCTGCCAGAAGCAAGTGCTGATAATTCTGCACAAACCAATAAAACACTGGAAACTGTAATGGAGTTGGCCGATACTTTAGCTAATTGCATATGCCGAAAGAGTTCCAAAGACTCCTCCCCACGCCCCTTAGAAGCAAATCCACCAATAACAGCACTCCAGCTAATCACATTGGGTCTTTCCATCTGTGAAAATATAGTGAAAGCCTCATCACACAATCCAGATTCTGCATAGGACGATATCAAAGCATTCCAACTCACTATATTCTTCGATTCCATTTCTGAAAACAGATTTTCTGCATCTCTAACCGCTCCATGTTTACCATACATACATATAAGTGAGTTTTTCACAAATAAGTAATTCTCAAAACCACCCTTAACAACATAACCATGGATTACCTCACCCTTGTCGAGTGCACCTGAATCGGCACAAACAGATACAACCACAGCAAGTGCTTCAGCAGTAGTACCAATTCCTTTCCCTCTCATCACACCATACAAACGCAACGTTTCTTCATGACGCCCGCACCTGGCATGACTTGACAACAATGATGTCCACGTCACGATGTTCGGCTCCAAACCATCCAATTCCATCTGACAAAATATCTCAAAAGCACCATTACAATCATAATTAAGTGCAAATCCAGAAACCATAGTGTTCCATGAAATATGGGTTCTAACAGACATTCTATCAAACAGTTTGCGAGCGTAACCCATTTCCCCAACCTTTCCGTACATACCCAACAACTCATTCACAACATGAAGATGATATTGAAAACCCATCTGCAAAACAAGACTATGAACAATCTTGCACAATCTAGAATCGCCAAACACACCACAAACCCTTATAACCAAAGGAAAAGTGAACCCATCAGCTCCAACCCCAAGTTTGCGCATCCGAAGATAAAGCTTAAGAGCCTCTTCATATTCTCCATACACTACACTAGCTCTGAAGATTGAGTTCCATAGAAGCGAGTTTGAGAAGCATTCAATTGGGGTTGTTTCGAATGCTTTTCGAGCATCATCAAGAAGCCCGAAACGAGCGTAGATGGAGACAAGCCTGGCAGCCAGGAATGCTGAATTGGACGACCCAGTAACGAGAATTTGGGAGTGAAGTTGCTGACATTGTTGCATTGTTGTGCATTGTCGAAGAAGGTGATCGAAGACATCGAGAAGTTCGCTGTGGGTTGTGCAGGATTTGGATGATTTGATGTGGGTTTGTTGATGGAGGAGGGAATTGGAGACCCAATTGCTGAGAATTGATGGGAAGGTGAGTTTGGGGAGATGGAGATATGGAGGGACTGAAATCAAACGCCTTGACGAAGCACAACCATGAAGCATGGAGGTGGTGATCAAGAAAGTTTCAAATTTTTGGCATTTTTATCAACTGAAATCTCCAGACATATTAATGATCTGTTTGGTAGGGTAGCATTTGAATTTGTACTTTATTTGATTTTCTAAACTTATTTGGTAAATAAATAAATAAAAGAGAGACCTTTTTAAATTAAAATTTATAGCTTTTTTTAAACTTATTTGAATAAATTTGAAACCTTAAATATGTATAGACATATTTGCACTATAAAAATAAAGTTATATTTTAGCTTATTTAATTGTTTTGGAAAGTTTAGTTAAAAGTTAGACTTTTGACTTTTGATTTTTTTTTTTTAAAAAAAACGTGTAAAAAAATAAAGAGATGATGTGATCCAAAATAAATTAAAAGATATTTCCAAATTGACCCTAAATAAGTTTAGCCTTTTTTACTAAAAAGAAAAACAATTTATCCGCACAATTTCTCCTTTCCAAAATCTCCCTAATAAGGTGGAAAGACATAAGAAAAATTTTGAGAGAATGTTAGAATGTGAGTCAATTTTTCAAATTTTATTTGTCACATCACTTGAGGGATTCAGAGAGGAGAAATTGTGTCGATGTAGCAATGACGTATTAAAAACTACACTAAACGCATTTACAATTTATTTATTTTTTTAAGCTAATAAAATTAAAAAAATATAATCATAAAACTAACCTATAAGTGATGACCAAGCAAGGCCTTTATCCTCTTCACTACAAATATGGACAATGTTTCTCCTAATTACAGCTCAAATATGCATTTTTGTATATCAATCAAAATTTACACATTTGAAAAGATTTCTGTGATCAACGGAAAAAAAATTACTTAAAAAAATAATTTTCAATTTTAAAATGTAAAAAATATTTTCCAAACTAAAGTATCACAAATGTCACCACCCTACCACCTCTACCTCCACTTTCACCTTGCCACCACCACAGGATCCTCTGGTTTCAAGATCTTAACAATCAAAATCATCTGCTCAACATTTGAATTCCATCTTTATCATGCAGAATTCCATCTTTATCATGCAAACCATGCCTAAAAATTGAAAGCATACCATAAAATATTTGAATCAACAGGCAAGAACACTAGTTCAATATTTCCCATTTTCATTGAAGTCAATACGACTTGTCCTTTTCTAAATGAAGAGCACATTCCATTTATTAATACAACGGCACTAGCTCTGTTACGCATCACTCCAATGGTGTTCCCATCCTTTGGTTAACTAAAAATTAACAGCTATTTCTTGTAATTATCATAATCCCCTTGCCTGTCGAATGAAAAAAATTGGCTACTCTAGAAACAATGACACAACACCTCAACATGCCATGAATTACTAGCATAGCTTTCTCAACGATATTCAAAACTTCAGAGTCAGCGTCAACTGAATCAGTAACCCATATCATCCAAATTTGGCATTCGATTTGCAAGTGGATTTTTCTCTCCTTGAAGGTCCACAACAGTGGCTTCTGTTGTTGTCAATAACAATGAAACACTGCAAACCCAAACACCAATTTTGGTTTGTGATATTGAACAAGATTTGAAGAAAATGCACAACAATGTAATATAAGAGTAATATGATCTTCACCTGGCAGCATCTACTAAGGCTGTTCTAATAACTTTGAGAGGATCTACAATTCCAGCCTTCACCATGTTAACATACTGACCTGGTTCAATACAAAAAACAACCAACACATGGCTCAAAAGATTGACTTCGAGAAGTTTCAATTACAACATTAATAACCCAGATGCTCATGACAATGTCAATGAAGATTTGAAAAGGCAAATTACAAAAATAAAACAAGTCATCTAAATACAAACTAGAGAAACACAATTAGAACAGCCCTTAGGATTTGTTAAGTTTAGATCAACTAATCAGAACTAATTTTCTTGTCATGACCATAATGCTGTTTGGAAGCTTGGAAATAAGGAGATACACAATAAAAGAAAATCCAAGTATCACATCAAATAGGTTGCTAATCTTTGGACTGGAAAATTTCTATCAAATTCAGGCAACAAATGCGTCAAGATTTCAGCTATGTCAGATGATTCAAGATTTCAGCTATGTCAGATGATTCAAGATTCCAGTTGACAAAGTTCAGCTCAATATGACAGAATTATGAGGATGAGAGGATTATTAAGTGGCATCTACAGAAACAAACCCTTGGCAGCATCATAACCCAAACTAAGATCGTCTTGTTCCAAAAGCTTGCCAACAACCAGAGCACCATCACCACCAGCATTTGAAACTATAGTGAAAGTAGGAGCCTACAAACCAAATTATCCAATGTCAAGGTAATATGAAACTACAAATACTCACTTAAAAGAATTTTGGAGGGAAATTTCAGAGATGAACCTTTAGAGCATTCTCAATTATTTGGACCCCTCTCTTCTGATCTTCATTCGCTGTTTGAAGGTTCTTTAGAACTTTGGTGGCATACAAGAGAGCAACACCACCACCTATCAAAATAGTCTTGTCGTGTTGTGATTCTGGTGATTGAGAATAAAACATAATTGACCATCAAAAATGCAAAATACAAACTTGCCTGGAACAATTCCCTCTTCCACAGCTGCTCTTGTGGCATTTAAAGCATCTGTAACCCGATCTTTCCTTTCTCCAACTTCTGCTTCGCTAGCCCCTCCAACCTGAAAGAAGAAGATGACTTGCAATGAAGTCATAAAAATATATGCAACAGTGGAAATTCTGTAAGGTAAAGAATATTTACCTCGAAAACAGCAACGCCGCCAGATAGCTTTGACAACCGCTCCTGTGCTTTCTCTTTGTCAAACATAGCAGTACTCTTCTCAATGGCAGCCCTTAGCTATTCAAACATATAAATGGCATCTCATTAATATTTTTCTATGCAAATCAATGGCATTTAGACTCTACAAGATAACATGGGAATTCTACGTCTCTTCAATTAAATACTTGAGAATTTTTCTGGAGTTATCCATAACTTCAATTAAGATCACGCCCTAAGACCCAAAATAAAATAAGTACCAATATTCAGTGCTCAAATTAATGAATAAGAAATAGATTTCTCCCATTAAATGGAAGTTTAAAACTCCAAATATCAAGTATCCTGATTCAACAAAATATGACTTTCACTGGGTTTAACAGCAGAGCAAATTTCATGTGACTATCTAATAATGCATAGAGGCACTTTGGCTTTTACCATACACTTTCAATGTAAATGTTAATCTTGCTTTATACGTAAACCCCTGAGAATCATAAATAACACCCATGCAGTTCTGACTAATTGTTGGACTGTATAAACAAACCAAAAGCCTAAACAAATCAGCATATTTCCCAAGCCACCAATACCTGCTCACATCTTTCTTCAATCGGCTGCTTATCTCCACCCCCATGTAGAATTATAGTGTCATCAAGAGAAACAGTGACCTGCTCCAAAAATCTCAGAAACATGTCTCAGAGTGTTCGTGTAAAAATCAACGCATGCACATTCATACAGATTCATGTAGTCACAAACCTTTTTTGCAGTACCAAGCATGTTCATTTGAACTTTGTCAAGATTTAAGCCACGTTCTTCAGTGATAACCTGAAAATAAACACAATGAATCCAATAAACTAAGCATGCAAAATATAAAAACCTAGGATTTAGATGTTTGATTTACCTCTCCACCAGTGAGAATAGCAAGGTCAGCTAAATTAGCCCTTCTGTTTTCCCCAAAACCAGGTGCTTTAATGGCACAAACCTAAGGAATGTGGAGGACAGATTTAAAGTCCATGAGTAAAATTGTGGCTGTTGACAACAAACATGCATTATAAGTAACAAAGTTCAACCATTGGGTTTCATACATCAAAAATTTGGTTCTATTGGAGCAATATGCCAAGAAATCTGGCTTCAAAGCAAAGGCAATCCATTACCTTAACCCCAGCACGATGCTTGTTTATAATGAGCATAGCCAGTGCATCACTCTCCACATCCTCAGCAACTACAAGCAGGGGTTGATGTTTCTGTTGAACAAGCAAAGACAGAGAGAACAAAAAAAGAATTATTGATTATAAGTTCCTCAACAACCTCAAGGCTTTGCCAATATCCACTGCCCCACGTGGAGGACCCCACCAGAAAAGGTTGATTACCTTCACAGCCAGCTCCAATATTCTGACAAGTGAGTTCATGTCTGAAATTTTCTTGTCATGGATAAGGATGAGGGGATTTTCCAGTTCCTACGAACATGCAAATTGCAATTGATATCATGAAATTGGAACAGATAGGGTCATATAAATAACAAGACTCGGATTAACGAAACAGGGATAGTGCATGAAATGACTGTGGCCAATTATAGTTTAGTTCTCCCAAAAGTGATTATGATCAAAAGTAGGAAATGAGATAGACTATCTGCCTTTCAGCTGTTTTTTTTTCTGTAAGGGAATGTTTATGATAATTGATCAGCAGATGCTTCAAAGTCAAAAAACCTCATTTTACTAGGGAATGGTAGTATTACACTTTTGGGAAATTAAAATATAAATCATCAGCAGCCAGATCATTGAAGAGCTATACATACACATTTTTGGGTCTTCTGATCAGTAACAAAATAAGGAGATATATAACCCCTTCCTAGCTTCATCCCTTCCACCACATCCAATTCATCCTCCAAAGTATTTCCATCCTGCATAATTTTGCAAGTCAGAATGCAAGTAAACTTTAAACAGAATTGATTAAACGTTATCTATCACATGAAAAGATGTTAGAGTACTCACAGCAACAGTAATGACTCCTTCCTTCCCAACTTTCTCCATTGCCCGTGCTATCAGTTCCCCAATTTCAGTGTCACCGTTGGCAGAAATTGTGGCCACCTAACTCACATGTATGATGAGGGAACAACAAGAACATGAGTATACAAGACCAGCAGAATGCTTATCTTTATGTAATCTGGAAAGTACAAGAACTGATGAGCAAAAAAGTAAGAAACACAACTGGCAGCTAGTTAGTCATTTAAGTAACCTACGAAATGGTTCTTCGAATCTCTAAATGTTCTCATGCTTGTGTTGGTATGGTTATTGAAAAAACAGATAAAAGGGCCAAACAAGACCATTTAGCCAACCTACACTCCAGACAGTGATTTATAGAAGAAAGCAATGAAAGCATTTCCCAGTACGTCGGATCATCAACTAATTTGTCTCTTACAAAATATCAACATATGAGAGGAATACATATTTATCTCCTAAATCTATTTTTCCTTATCAAATGCAACCATAACAATACAGTTTGCTATTTTGTAAACCTATTACCTGTGTTATTTCTTCTAGTGTGCTTATCATCAGGGCTCCGCTTTTCAAGTGAGCTATAACAGCATCAACAGCCAAATTAATACCACTACGCAAATCCATCACATTTGCACCAGCAGCTACTGATTTGCAACCTTCCTTGAATATTGCTTGTGTCAGAACCGTGGCACAGGTGGTACCTGTAGCATATAAATATACATTTCCTGTGATGAGAATTTATCATCTGACATACTAGACATTACGTAATGAATATACTATGAAGACCATTGTTTCAAGATAGATTTTTTAAATTGCACCACAAATCCATACCCAATCAAACTGCATTGATGGAAAGAATACTTTTCTTTTTATTTCACTAAGACTACTTTTCTCTGACTATGAAACATTTCTTTTTCTTTTTTGTTTTTTTCCCTTCTCAAAATAGCAATTTCAAGGTAAATAACCAACTGTAACTTCTTTGTTATATTTCCAAAAGCAAGAAAAGACTTCTGATAACATATCCACATGGTGCTTTAATTAAAGCATGGAGATCCAACAATGTTCATGACATGAAGTAAAGAGTAACCGTGAAAAATTACCATCTCCCGCCACAGAATTAGTTGCACTAGCGACCTGCTTTACAAGATCAGCACCAACATTTTTAGCCTTTTCCGCAAATTTTATGCTTTTGGCAACAGTAACACCATCCTTTGTGACCTTAGGACCTCCTCGGTTATTCTCAATAATTACATTACGACCCTAAGTTGAAAACAGGAAGAAGAAGAAGAAGAAGCCTGGGTTAGTTTTGAGCCTTTTTCATTCAGTTTTATGGGATCCCAGTAATACTCATAGTTAAACTTTTAACCCCCAATACGTGATAGTTTAAAATTGTGTTCCTAATAGAACGAAAGCAAGCATAGGTTTCAGCAATCCTCATTCCCTGTAAATGTTAGGAAAGTACCCCAAAAAAAAGGCTCTTAATGCATTCACCGCAACCCTAACTAATTGATAAGATTTTAATTTAATTTAATTTTTCTCCACAATTTCTAAGCAACCAAGCAGTAGGCAAAGAGGTTAGAAGGGAATGCACCAACACACTTTATCTACCATACAATGAACATTATAAAATCTAGCTACAAAATTTAAACTGGGTCACAATATTTGATGGTTTGAGATAAAATTTCATCCTAAAATTGCACTGTATATTTATATTTGACCCCCAAAAAAAAAAACAAAAAATGGAAAGCATGTAATTACCTTTGGTCCCATAGTGACCTTAACAGCCTCAGCAAGCTCATTAACACCCCGTAGCATAGCCGCTCGAGCCCTAATACCAAAAATGATATCCTTTGCAACATAATTTCTGCCATGTATAACTCTACTACATACCTTCAAGATCAAATATGAAAAATCAAATCTTGCAGTACACAAAAATGAAAACACATTATTTAATTTCACAACCCATCTTTCCAATCTCATCAACAACCCAGTAAAGAGGTGTAAATCGAAAAAGACTCACCACTGTCCTTGAAGCAGAGGACCTGATCGATGAAGCGAAGGCTGCACCAACTCTGTACATGGCGTGGGTGGAGAGGGAGAGAGGTTGAAGAAGAAATGGGGATTCAATAGGGGGCTCGATTGAGGTGGGTTTGAATTTGAAGCAGAGATGGGTTTAGGGTTTAAGCCTAAAACCCTTCGGATCCACTGGTAATAACCCGTATGAAATAAGCCATTTACAACCCTGACCAAATGTTTTTGTTTTGCAAATAGTTTTTATAAGTTATTAATCTCTATTTTTTAGTGATTTTTAAAAAAATTTAATTTTTTTTGAATTCTTAAATTTATTTAATTTAAATATATTTATTTAAAAAAAATATATCAATAGGCTTGGAGAGAGAGAGAGAGAGAGAGAGAACATTGAGAAGCACATTGAGAGCTTTCCTATCTAAAGATTTTTACCTGGTTCCAAAAAAAAAAAAAAAGAATGGTTCAAAAAATCTAAAGATTTTTACCAATACTCCGACGACCTTCTTTACACTTCTAAAAGGTAGATCCATACTTTTAGAGTATAGATCTATACTTCTAAAGTGTAGATATGGAATTTTTATATTTGAATATACGTTTTGAGTGTTTTTCTCTCAATTTTGACATTAATTTTTAAATTTTCGACACCCATAATGGTTTTCTTTTCTCTCAAACCTTCTCTCATACGATTGTTGATATTCTTCTTTTTCAACTCTAGCATTTGGAGGTTTCTAAAATACAGCGGTGGCAATGACGAAATTGGACAGTGATGATAGGGACGACGTCCACGTTAACGTCGACGTCGACAACTGATGTTGACGTAGATCTTACTTGGTTAATGCATATCTAACTTTCTAAACCAATTTATGAGAGGCAAGGTGGTTTTCCTAACTCGTAGCCAATTTTTTTGCGAATTTACTTTTATTGTTTGTTGCTTGTTATTTTGCCTTATAGGGTCTTGGTTTTTATTTTAATCTATATGTTGTTTCATTTATTTTAATATATCTACTTTTCATGCTCTAAAAAATAAATACATTTAAAAAGTATAGAATTAATTTTTTTTAAATTCATTAAATATAAAAATTCAATACATCTTTTTATATTTTTTGTATTTATTATTTTTTTTTAGATTTTTTCACAAATATTTTTACTTTTAAATACGTTAGATTAGGTGCTTCCAGGGAAAAAAAAATTAAAATTAAAAACTTCACTTAAATACAATAAAATGAAAAAATAAAAACTATTTTTTACTTTTAATCCATTTTTTCATTTTTTTAGTAATTTTTATTTTTATTTTTAACCAATTTTTTACTCTTTATATTCATTTATCTAAATATACTTAAAAAGTATAAAAATTATAAACTAAAATAATAAAATAAAAATATGAACGTTCGGCTCAAAAATTCAATTTTGAATTTTATTTGGCCAAATGTCCAGTGTTGAATTAGCTTGTCCATAAGGACAAGGTTAGGTTAAATGACTAAAATATCCTCTATATATATATATGAAAACACTATCAAAAAATCTAAACCGGTCCTCTCTCTCTCTCTCTATATATATATATATCTAGATTTCTACAATGTTACTGCTTCGTCTCCGATAATTCCATTCCAACTGTAACCCCCAATTCAATAGCAATTTCTACCACGACCTCATCTCTCTCCTCTCTTCTCTCTCTCTCTCTCTCTCTCTCATCTATCTTCTCTATGTTGGTCTTTTAATTTAGGGGGTCCAAGGCAGACTTCGGAAATGGGACACCTCTTACATTGAAAAAAAGAAGAAGAAAGTTCATGGATAAAATGATAAGTTACATCAACTTTTTTATTTGTTTGTAGCCATAAAAAAAAGGTTTACTTGCACATATAATCATTAAAATTATAAACAAAAAATTACTTTCATATATTAAGATGAGAAGCAATCATTACAAATACTCAAAAAAATAAATATATGGTCTTGTTGCTTTATAGTTTAGCAATATCCAGTTTACAATTGAACCAACTATCACATAAACATTACTTTTCTCTCATTTTTAGCTGTAAAATCACTAATGAAGCTTGCATAATCAAATTTATCTACCATATTCTTTTCAATGGATAACAAAGCTAACCCATCAATTTATCTCCAAATGCCACTAATTTAAAGAACAAATTATATAGGGCAGAAATTAGGGAAAAATTAGGGCAACAACTGTCTCCATTTAAATGTGATATATATAGAGAGAGAGAGAAATAAAGAGAGGAGGGGAGGGACTCACGGTTTTGCTATCCGAAATTGTTGATGCTCAGCGTCGGATATGGAGGAGAGGACTCATAGTGTTTCTCTTCTCTTCTCTTGCTACTGCTGGTGGCAGATATGGAGGAGAGGAATCACAGACTGTGTAGACACCCCATTTTTGACCGACCTTAAGACTCAGACGTCATCGATTGAGCGCTCGGTGATGGTGCATGTTCTGCTTGTCTTGAGATTCCGAAGTTTCGGCTGAGAGCCTTGCCTCCGAGCCTCAGGACCCTTTGTACTTTGACTCGGTCTATGGACCAAGTCTTGTTTTCTCTTCCCAGAGGAAGGGAGAGGTCTTGTAGATCACCTCTCAGTGGCCATGGGCTACTTTTCGTGGTCGTAGGCCACTTTCCCGTTTGGAGACTAGTTTTCGATTTTCGGAGCCGTCGGCTACCCGCCTCGGCTTGGGACCACTTAACATTCTCCGTTTGGCATGTTTTTGGAACACACCTTGTTTTCTCTGTCTAGAGGGACACTATGGCCCGGGAGACCACTTTCGGTGCTCAACAGCCAGTTTTCGAGGCACCCGGCCGTGCATTTTACCTCTCGAACTCTCGTTTTGCATCCGTGTTGGTTCATTTTTGGCATGAACCTTGTTTTCCTTGTTTGAGAGGTGGTACAAGGGTGGGAGACCACCTTTTCACCTTGGAGACCACTTTTCCCCGCCAGCTGATTTTCTTGTCGAGAAACTGATTTTCTTGATCTTTGAGCCACATTTATTGGTCTCCCACCACACCATTGGCTTGCTTTCAATATGGAGACCACCAATTACCCTGGCCGACCACTTTTGTTCTGGGAAACCAGAAAAAGTGGTCGACCGACCAGTAAAAGTAGCAGGCTGACCACTTTTTCTAGTCGGCGGCCTTTCTGCAGATTTTGCAAAGTCTATGGATGCCAGCTGTGCCAGCTGGAGGGCACAGATTGTATCCTCCATACACGTGTATGGAGGGATTTAAACAAGCTCTTAGCTTGTCCTAGAAGCTTGAGAGTTGTTTCTCTACAAGAGGGGAGGCCTCTCTCCCTTCTTGGGGTTCAGAATTTTGTTGAAGGCAAAATACATATCTCTCTATATCTCTATATTTTGGCTCAAAGTGTGTATTGTTCTTGACCTATTGCACCATACCTCATAGCCATACACCTCCACCATTGATCTGAGGTTCTTGGAGAGTATTTTCAGAGGTTGAAGAGTTGGTTTTTGGTCCCAAAACTTGCTAGTTTTGCTGAGCTTCAAGGGTAACTCCTTTTCCCTCTTTTTGAGCTCTATCTTGATCATTCTCTTAGCCATACTTGCATGCATATTTAGGCTTTGTTGTCAACTGAAAAAAGCTTCATATTTAAGTGTTTTTTATGTTTGTTTAAGGCTCTTTTGGTGTTGAGGGTCATCTACCCTCTTGCATGCTCTATTTAGCCTTGTTTTGTGCCATGCCATGAGACCTTTGTGTTGGTCATGTCTCAGTGGGTTTTTGGCCATCATTTGGCATGCCTTGATTCTGTTTTTGGCTGGTTTTGTAGCATCTCATATGCTTCATATGCAACTGAAAAAAGCTTCATATTTAAGTGTTTTTCATGTTTGTTTAAGGCTCTTTTGGTGTTGAGGGTCATCTACCCTCTTGCATGCTCTATTTAGCCTTGTTTTGTGCCATGCCATGAGACCTTTGTGTTGATCTTCACTTGGCCTTTTAGCCACTGAAATCCAATGGATTTTCAGTGGTTGGCATATAGTTTTGAGGGCCTAAATCAGAGAGGGGAGACCCTCTCTCTTTTGGCCTTGTTTGTTTGCATTTTTAGCCTTTCAAAGGAGCACATACTTTCATACCTCAAGGCTTGGTTCATGCCCTTTTTGGTGACTTTTGGGACCTGCCTAGACTCTGTCTATGGCTGGTTTGGTCACCTTGTGTTTGCCTCTTGCATGTGTAGAATAATCCCTTTCATGGTTTATCAAAGTAGCACCTCATTCTTGCATGTATTGGTCATGTCTCAGTGGGTTTTTGGCCATCATTTGGCATGCCTTGATTCTATTTTTGGATGGTTTGGTAGCATCTCATATGCTTCATATGCTTGTAGTGTAAATCATGTTTACTAGCTTGAAATGCATGATGTTTTGGCCCTCTATTCTAGCATATTTTGGCTTTGATCCAAACTGATTGTTCATATTTTGGGCTGCCTTAGCTCTGTTTTGAGGCCTCTTGGTCGAATGATGCTTGCCATGCATGCTTGTAGTGTAATAGCATTGCCTAGCTTTGAGTTTTTAAGGTCCTTTGCATGCTTAACTTGAGGTATTTGCATGTTTTGGCATTATGAGGAATGTTATTTCAGAGCTTATTTCTTGGCCGTATTCTCATGTTTGTCACTCTTTCAATGTGTTTGAGAGTTGCATCATTATACCCCATTTGTGAGCCATTGCATGAGCTTCATTTTTGTGTCTTTCAAGCCATCATCTTAGTTCATTTTTGCCACTATTCTGGCCTGCATAGGGTCTATTTGGATTTGGTTTGGCCATTTGAGCATTGCCTTGCATGCCTATAGTGTAATACACTTCACTAGTTTCGGTGCTTGAGCCATTCAACATGCATTGTGTTGCATTGAGTATGCCATTGTAGTTCATAGCATTGAGTATGCCACGTTGTCGCATGATTGATCATTGCATTGTGCATGCCTTGTTCATCTCATTGTGTATATTAGTTCCATGTGCATTGTGTATGCTAGTGTCATGAGCATTGTGCATGCCATGTAGCTTATAGCATTGTGTATGCTAGTTGCATGTTTGCATGTTATCCCTTGCATGTTTGCATCACTTAGTTGCATTGCATTAGGATTGCATGCTAGAGTTGCATTTGTGCATGCCATGTTTGTTGCATTGTGTTTGGGATAGGAGTTAGTCCGAACACGGGAAACAAGGGACGTCTCGTACTCAAAGTGACAAAACG